GATCAACCAACATTTGGGCCCGTCATACAGATCTCAATCCTCCTTTTGGGCTCACCAATCAGGCTTCATGAGGCTAGTTTCGGGGGATTGGAAGGCTTGAAATTCGAATTTCAACCTCCGAAGTCCTCAAGAGCCAACCTCATCCACTAGCATGTATGTACCGTACCATACCATACCATAGTCGTATGCAGGACAGAAACATAAAGTGCCGTGGTGCATAGACACACCTACACATGACATGGCCCGACCTTACGTTGCGTTATGTTACGTTTCGTTACATTGCACAGGCATGGGGCACATTCATCCACACGCATGCATACAAGCAAAAAGACAGACCAACAGCCAACCATGGGAGGACATAGATACCCAGACACATATGCTGTGTGTGTATGCATGCATATATATATATACATATGTATGTAATGTAAAGTAAAGTAAATGTAATAAATGGATCTCATGTAATGTAATGTAATGTAATGTAATGGGATGTAATGTAATGCAATGAATGGTAATGGTAATGGTCATGGTAATGGAATGTATGTATGTATATCTGTATATACATATTTAAACGGGTAACAACCACGGGTTCGCATGCCCACGCGCACACACACACATATATATATACACAAGATAATATTCACTGTGAGTGTTCTGAATGTAATGCAATGCAAGGTAATACAATGCAATGTAATGTAATGTAGTGCAATCTAATCTAATGCAATCTAATGTAATGGAATCTAATCGAATGCAATCTCATCTAATGTAATGCAACCTAATGTAATATATATCTAATCTAATCTAATGTGATGTAATGAATGTAATGTAATGTGATGAGAGAGCAGCCACTTGCAGTCTTGCATTCCATTTCCGCAAGAGGTCTGCATGAAAACATTACAAGGTCTTGTCGAGGAATGCAAGATGTGCATCTTAAGATTCCCAAGCGCTTGGGATTTCTTGCTCGATGGATGTATGCTCCAAAGTTACCAGATTCTAAGACGGGGTTATTTGTATAGTGGATATTTATCTATCTATCTATCTATCTTTCTTTCTTTCTTTCTTTCTTTCTTATCTATCTATCCATCCATCCATCCATCGATCGATCGATCTATCTATCTATCTATCTATCTATCTATCTATGGCCTATAGCTATTATACATGTAGACTGTAGATATATATCCATTTGTAGCTAGGCAAATAGAGATCCTCAGATATGTTCATCATAGACATGTATACACACACACACATATATATGTATGTATTGTATTGTATTGTACTGTAGCGTAGTGTATTGTGCTGTGCTGTATTGTATTGATATGTATGTGTATGTGTATGTGTATGTGCATGTGCATGTGTATGTGTATGTGTATGTGTATGTGTATGTGTATGTGTATGTGTATGTGTATGTATGTCTGTATGTATGTATGTATGTATGTATGTATATATCATGTGTCGCGGAAATGCACAATGAAGTAAAGGCTGGGGGAAAGAGGTTCAATCAGATGGTTGCAAAGTGGCTCAACGGAAGCGCGTTCGGTTGGGGCACTTTGTATTTGGCAAGTAGGGCACACGGATAGATAGATAGATCGATAGATAAATTGATAGATAGATCGATAGATCGATAGATAGATCGATAGATAGATCGATAGATAGATCGATAGATAGATCGATAGATAGATCGATAGATAGATAGATAGATAGATAGATAAGAAAGAAAGATAGATGGATAGATGGATAGATGGATAGATGAATAAATCGATAGATGGATAGATGGATGGATAGAGAGACACACGCACACACACACACATAAATATATATATATATATACATAATTAATTGCTGTGTGTCATTCACAGATTTCAGACCCGATGTGTATTGGACCTCCAGCGCCATAGCGTGGTGGATCCCTTTGGCATTACCTTTTGGATGTTGCCCGTCCCAGGTGGTAACAGCTTTATTCTATGGGTTTGTAGCCCATCCATATGTGAAAGACTGAGGCAGTTCACCTGCCCTGCACCAGTGAGTTTACCTACTTCAGAGCCCCCCAATGATAAATGACACAAGCCAGCTAGACTAATGACCAATCAGGCAGGGTTACCTCCCGCAGGATCTTTCGGGTCCTCAGGTTGCTCAGGGCTGGTAGGTTATTGATCTCGGTGCCCGAGCTCTACATTCTGGTGAGTGGTTTGACCACTTCCATCAAGGCCATCTTCTTTGGCTCCATCATGCTCGCCTCTGTGGTCTTCGTCTGGGCCATTGTGCCTGATCGGCTTTGGACGGGGAAGTTCGGCGGGAGAATGCGGGGGCAGCGAGATGCAGCAGGTGTGACATCACAACATGGGTTTCATATGGTTTCATGTTCCATGTGAAACTGTTGAGGTCAAACTGGGAGTGATAACTTTTTGGGAGACTTTTTGGAACCAATTTTTGGGTGACTTCTTCAGTACCGTAAGTATCAGTTTTCTAATTCTAAGATCTTTCCAAGATTCAGGTCGTTGCGCCATCAAGCATCGGTCAGCTGTTGCTTAGATGGGCCATGGAATTGGTTTCTTATGGCTTTTGTCGATTACGCTGCGTTATATACCCAGTTGTGCGTGGGGTTATTCACCATTGAACTAACTATTTAATTTAAACATGGCCTAGCTACGAAAAATGTGGTCTCGCATCCACAAGTAACCGTGGCTCATCTAAGTAGTTGACTATATCCCATTATATATATATATAAATATCCCGAGTATTATGGTTGGTTATACCTCTCCCCTATCTTCTATACCCTCCGGTGTTATCAAACGTGGCTAGCTGGACAAACCTCGATTTAGTTGATTGATTTTCCCATGAATTCCTCCATTTCTAGTTGATTTTCCTATTGATCATCCAATACAGTATCTGTATATAGTATAGCATGATTTTATATCATCGTATATGTATATATATATATAATATTTTACACGCACACACACACATATATATAATCCGCATATAAGATGAATAAATAAAATATTGTATGAGAATCTAATTCCAATTTTTATATCAGCTCACAGGTGATGGTCGAGTTGGTTCACCCGTTGAACTTGGAGATCGATTATACCCAGACCTTGTGTCCCCGCTGCCCACGGAGCTTCTCTACTGTGGCTTTCGCTGGGAAAGCTGTGGCGAGTTTTTGGCCATGATACCATGTGATATAACTAGGAAACATGGGATGGTATGATATCATGGTGTTTTTGATGGGGATAGATAGGATATAATGGGATGTAACCACCATATTCTATTTGGGTTTGTCTAAAAATGGGGTCTACCACTTACATGGCTAATTTATATGGACTTGGGGGCATCCTATTTTCAGACAAATCCAGAAAAATGATCAAATATGGAGTGTCTTCAGCTATGTCTGATGATAATCATACGACATGTACTTAGGCCGCTCGATTTTTCAGAGAAACTGGGGATTGAATCGAAAGTTCCAATTTTTAGGGAATTCCAATTGGGGTTTTCGGGGCAATCCATGAACTTGGCTTGTAACCAGCTACAGACCATGTGTTGATTGGTGATTGCAATGAGTTTTCTTGGTTTCCTGGCATTTTTTGCAGGTGATGCGGACATCACACAGACCGGCCTATTATATATTCAGCTATCCTATCTAATCACGAAAGCCAGCCGCTAGGCTAGGCGAAGTTATTTTTGCGAACAAAGTGAGTTAAGGGGGTCTGGGGGCAGAGCGAGCCGAAACGGTCAAAAATGAGGAAAATAGGTGGTAAAAAAGGTGGACCGGGTAAACTTTTTTTAGGGTTATGTACCAGGTGGCAATTGGGTGACGTTGGGGTATCGATTCCCCCCTGGTCCGCCCTCCGAGGTGGATCTGGGCAGATTGCAATGGAGGGGAAAATGATGAGAAAAACAATGAAAAAATGAGGGAATATGACATAAAACAATGGGAACAAAATGGGAAAGGAGGGGAAAATGATGAGAAAAACAATGGAAAAAAGGAGGGACTTTGACATAAAACAATGGAAAAAAATGGGAAAGCAATGGACAATTTGAATAGAACGCTTGGAAAATTGATTAAAATGCGAGGCGAAACGGTGGAAAGAATAGGGAGAGGGTAAAATGATGCCAAGTAAAATTGAGGCTCCGATGTGGGACCATTATCGCGTAAAGCACGCGTGAAACAATGGAAAAGCAATGGAAAAATTGCAGTTTCGATGTGTGACCACTATGGAGTAGAACACAGAAAAAAAACCATGGAAGAAACGAGCAAAACCGTTTATACGGTGCAACTGTAGGGATTGTGGAAGGTGCATTTGGGTAAGCGTTAGACACACTGAGATAATAGAAGGGTAATGATGGAGAAATCGAGTAACACCATGGCAAAACACTGGAAAAATTGATGAAATGGAAGGATAAATTGATAGCGTAAAATATGGGACGATTGAGTAAAACTGGAGGAAAAACTGTGAAAAAAACACTGGGGAGACTGGAATGGAGGGGAAAATGATGTCGAGTAAAACTATGGAAAAGCAATGGAAAAAATGAAAAAAATGTGGCTTCGATGTGAGACCATTAGCGATGGAAAAGCAATGGAAAAATCGAGGGACTATGATGAAGAAGTGGAGAAAAACAATGGAAAACATATTGGAAAAATTGCGGCTCTGATGTGGGACCAAAATGATGCCAAGTAAAATAAGAGTAAAATGACGGAAATTGATGGGATGAAAACACAATGGAAAAATTGAGGCTCCGATGTGGGACCATTATATGTGCAAGAAGAGTTTCTGGGTGAAGAGTCTCTAGGTGCAAAGTATATGGGTGAAAAGTTTGTGCAAGGAGAGTTTCTGGGTGAAGAATCTCTGGGTGAAAGTCTGTGCAAGAAGAGTTTCTGGGTGAAGAGTCTCTGGGTGAAAAGATGTGAAAAGTATATTGGTGAAAAGTATGTGCAAGAAGAGTTTCTGGGTGAAGAGTCTCTGGGTGAAAAGTATATGGGTGAAAAGTAGGTGCAAGAAGAGTCTCTGGGTGAAAGTATATGGGTGAAAAATATGTGCAAGAAAAGTTTCTAGGTGAAGAGTCTCTGGGTGAAAAGTATATTGGTGAAAAGTATGTGCAAGAAGAGTGAAGAGTCTCTGGGTGAAAAGTATATGGGTGAAACGTATGTGCAAGAAGAGTCTCTGGGTGAAAAGTATATGGGTGAAAAGTATGTGCAAGAAGAGTTTCTGGGTGAAGAGTTCTGGTGAAAAGTATATGGGTGAAAAGTATGTGCAAGAAGAGTTTCTGGGTGAAGAGTCTCTGGGTGAAAAGTATATGGGTGAAAAGTATGTGCAAGAAGAGTTTCTGGGTGAAGAGTCTCTGGCTAAAAAGTATATGGGTGAAAAGTATGTGCAAGAAGAGTCTCTGGGTGAAAAGTATGTGCAAGAAGGTTTCTGGGTGAAGAGTCTCTGGGTGAAAAGTATATGGGTGAAAAGTATGTGCAAGAAGAGTTTCTGGGTGAAAAGTATGTGCAAGAAGAGTTTCTGGGTGAAGAGTCTCTGGGTGAAAAGTATATGGGTGAAAAAGTATGTGCAAGAAGAGTTTCTGGGTGAAGAGCCTCTGGGTGAAAAGTGTGTGGGTGACAAGTATGTGCAAGAAGAGTTTCTGGGTGAAGAGTCTCTGGGTGAAAAGTATATTGGTGAAAAGTATGTGCAAGAAAAGTTTCTGGGTAAAGAGTTCCTGGGTGAAAAGTATATGGTTGAAAAGTATGTGCAAGAAGAGTTTCTGGGTGAAGAGTCTCTGGGTGAAAAGTATATGGGTGAAAAGTATGTGCAAGAAGAGTTTCTGGGTAAAAGTATATGGGTGTATGTGCAAGAAGAGTTTCTGGGTGAAGAGTCTCTGGGTGAAAAGATGTGAAAAGTATATTGGTGAAAAGTATATGCAAGAAGAGTTTCTGGGTGAAGAGTCTCTGGGTGAAAAGTATATGGGTGAAAAGTAGGTGCAAGAAGAGGGTGAAAAGTATGTGCAAGAAAGTTTCTAGGTGAAGAGTCTCTGGGTGAAAAGTATATGGGTGAAAAGTATGTGCAAGAAAGTTTCTGGGTGAAGAGTCTCTGGGTGAAAAGTATATGGGTGAAAAGTATGTGCAAGAAGAGTCTCTGGGTGAAAAGTATATGGGTGAAAAGTAAAAAGGCTCCGGTGGGTATGTGCAAGAAGAGTTTCTGGGTGAAGAGTCTCTGGTGAAAAGTATGTGGGTGAAAAGTATGTGCAAGAAGAGTTTCTGGGTGAAGAGTCTCTGGGTGAAAAGTTTGTGCAAGAAGAGTTTCTGGGTGAAGAGTCTCTGGGTGAAAAGTAGTATATGGGTGAAAAGTATGTGCAAGAAGAGTTTCTGGGTGAAGAGTCTCTGGGTGAAAAGTATATGGGTGAAAAGTAGGTGCAAGAAGAGTCTTTGGGTGAAAGTATATGGGTGAAATGTATGTGCAAGAAAAGTTTCTAGGTGAAGAGTCTCTGGGTGAAAAGTATATGGGTGAAAAGTATGTGCAAGAAGAGTTTCTTGGTGAAGAGTCTATGGGTGAAAATATGTGGGTGAAAAGTATTTGTAAGAAGAGTTTCTGGGTGAAGAGTCTCTGGGTGAAAAGTATATGGGTGAAAAGTATGTGCAAGAAGAGTTTCTGGGTGAAGCGTCTCTGGGTGAAAAGTATATGGGTGAAAAGTATGTGCAAGAAGAGTTTCTGGGTGAAGAGTCTCTGGGTGAAAAGTATATGGGTGAAAAGTATGTGCAAGAAGAGTTTCTGGGTGAAGAGTCTCTGGGTAAAAAGTATATGGGTGAAAAGTATGTGCAAGAAGAGTTTCTGGGTGAAGAGTCTCTGGATGAAAAGTATATGGATGAAAAGTATGTGCACGAAGAGTTTCTGGGTGAAGATTCTCTGGGTGAAAAGTATATGGGTGAAAAGTACGTGCAAGAAGAGTTTCTGGGTGAAGAGTCTCTGGATGAAAAGTATATGGGTGAAAAGTATGTGCAAGAAGAGTTTCTAGGTGAAGATGGGTGAAAAGATGTGCAAGAAGAGTTTCTAGGTGAAGAGTCTCTGGGTGAAAAGTATATGGGTAAAAAGTATATGGGTGAAAAGTATGTGCAAGAAGAGTTTCTGGGTGAAGAGTCTCTGGTTGAAAAGTATATGGGTGAAAAGTATGTGCAAGAAGAGTTTCTGGGTGAAGAGTCCGTGGGTGAGAAGTCTCTGGGTGAAAAGTATGTGCAAGAAGAGTTTCTGGGTGAAGAGTCTCTGGGTGAAAAGTATATGGGTGAAAAGTATGTGCAAGAAGAGTTTCTGGGTGAAAGTATATGGGTGAAAAGTATGTGCAAGAAAAGTTTCTAGGTGAAGAGTCTCTGGGTGAAAAGTGTATGGGTGAAAAGTATGTGCAAGAAGAGTTTCTGGGTGGAGAGTCTCTGGGTGAAAAGTATATGGGTGAAAAGTATGTGCAAGAAGAGTCTCTGGGTGAAAAGTATATGGGTGAAAAGTATGTGCAAGAAGAGTTTCTAGGTGAAGAGTCTCTGGGTGACAAAAAACAATGGAAAAAATGGGAAAGCAATGGAAAATTTGAGTAGAACGCTTGGAAAATTGATTAAAACGCGAGGCGAAACGGTGGAAAGAATAGGGAGAGGGTAAAATGATGCCAAGTAAAATTGAGGCTCCGATGTGGGACCATTATCACGTAAAGCACGCGTGAAACAATGGAAAAGCAATGGAAAAATTGCAGTTTCGATGTGTGACCACTATGGAGTAGAAGCACAGAAAAAAAAAAAAACATGGAAGAAACGAGCAAAACCGTTTATACGGTGCAACTGTAGGGATTGTGGAAGGTGCATTTGGGTAAGCGTTAGACACACTGAGATAATAGAAGGGTAATGATGGAGAAATCGAGTAACACCATGGCAAAACACTGGAAAAATTGATGACATGGAAGGATAAATTGATAGCGTAAAATATGGGACGATTGAGTAAAACTGGAGGAAAAACTGTGAAAAAAACACTGGGGAGACTGGAATGGAGGGGAAAATGATGTCGAGTAAAACTATGGAAAAGCAATGGAAAAAAATGAAAAAAATGTGGCTTCGATGTGAGACCATTAGCGATGGAAAAGCAATGGAAAAATCGGGGGACTATGATGAAGAAGTGGAGAAAAACAATGGAAAACATATTGGAAAAATTGCGGCTCTGATGTGGGACCAAAATGATGCCAGGTAAAATAAGAGTAAAATGACGGAAATTGATGGGATGGAAACACAATGGAAAAATTGAGGCTCCGATGTGGGACCATTATATGTGCAAGAAGAGTTTCTGGGTGAAGAGTCTCTACGTGCAAAGTAAATGGGTGAAAAGTTTGTGCAAGAAGAGTTTCTGGGTGAAGAGTCTCTGGGTGAAAAGTCTGTGCAAGAAGAGTTTCTCGGTGAAGAGTCTCTGGGTGAAAAGATGTGAAAAGTATATTGGTGAAAAGTATGTGCAAGAAGAGTTTCTGGGTGAAGAGTCTCTGGGTGAAAAGTATATGGGTGAAAAGTAGGTGCAAGAAGAGTCTCTGGGTGAAAGTATATGGTCTCTGGGTTAAAAGTATATGGGTGAAAAGTATGTGCAAGAAGAGTTTCTGGGTGAAGAGTCTCTGGGTGAAAAGTATATGGGTGAAAAGTATGTGCAAGAAGAGTTTCTGGGTGAAGAGTTCTGGGTAAAAAGTATATGGGCGAAAAGTATGTGCAAGAAGAGTCTCTGGGTGAAAAGTCTGTGCAAGGAGAGTTTCTGGGTGAAGAATCTCTGGGTGAAAAGTGTATGGGCGAACCGATGTGCAAGAAGAGTTTCTGGGTGAAGAGTCTCTGGGTGAAAAGTATATGGGTGAAAAGTATGTGCAAGAAGGGTTTCTGGGTGCAGAGTCTCTGGGTGAAAAGTATATGGGTGAAAAGTATGTGCAAGAAGAGTTTCTAGGTGAAGAGTCGGTGCAAGGAGAGTTTCTGGGTGAAGAATCTCTGGGTGAAAAGTGTATGGGCGAACCGATGTGCAAGAAGAGTTTCTGGGTGAAGAGTCTCTGGGTGAAAAGTATATGGGTGAAAAGTATGTGCAAGAAGGGTTTCTGGGTGCAGAGTCTCTGGGTGAAAAGTATATGGGTGAAAAGTATGTGCAAGAAGAGTTTCTAGGTGAAGAGTCTCTGGGTGAAAAGTATTCTTTGGGTAAAAAGTATATGGGTGAAAAGTATGTGCAAGAAGAGTTTCTGGGTGAAGAGTCTCTGGGTGAAAGTATATGGGTGAAAAGTATGTGCAAGAAGGGTTTCTGGGTGCAGAGTCTCTGGGTGAAAAGTATATGGGTGAAATGTATGTGCAAGAAGAGTTTCTAGGTGAAGAGTCTCTGGGTGAAAAGATGTGAAAAGTATATGGGTGAAAAGTATGTGCAAGAAGAGTTTCTGGGTGAAAGTATATGGGTGAAAAATATGTGCAAGAAAAGTTTCTAGGTGAAGAGTCTCTGGGTGGAAATTATATTGGTGAAAAGTATGTGCAAGAAGAGTTTCTGGGTGAAGAGTCTCTGGGTGAAAAGTATATGGGTGAAAAGTATGTGCAAGAAGAGTCTCTGGGTGAAAAGTATATGGGTAAAAAGTATATGGGTGAAAAGTAAAATTGAGGCTCCGATGTGGGACCATTATATGTGCAAGAAGAGTTTCTGGGTGAAGAGTCTCTAGGTGAAAAGTATATGAATGAAAAGTTTGAGCAAGAAGAGTTTCTGGGTGAAGAGTCTCTGGGTGAAAAGTCTATGCAAGAAGAGTTTCTGGGTGAAGAGACTCTGGGTGAAAAGATATGAACAGTATATTGGTGAAAAGTATGTGCAAGAAGAGTTTCTGGGTGAAGAGTCTCTGGGTGAAAAGTATATATGGGTGAAAAGTAGGTGCAAGAAGAGTCTTTGGGTGAAAGTATATGGGTGAAAAATATGTGCAAGAAAAGTTTCTAGGTGAAGAGTCTCTGGGTGAAAAGTATATTGGTGAAAAGTATGTGCAAGAAGAGTTTTGGGTGAAGAGTCTCTGGGTGAAAAGTATATGGGTGAAACGTATGTGCAAGGAGAGTCTCTGGGTGAAAAGTATATGGGTGAAAAGTATGTGCAAGAAGAGTTTCTGGGTGAAGAGTCTCTGGGTGAAAAGTATATGGGTGAAAAGTATGTGCAAGAAGAGTTTCTGGGTGAAGAGTCTCTGGGTGAAAAGTATACGGGTGAAAAGTATGTGCAAGAAGAGTTTCTGGGTGAAGAGTTCTGGGTAAAAAGTATATGGGCGAAAAGTATGTGCAAGAAGAGTCTCTGGGTGAAAAGTCTGTGCAAGGAGAGTTTCTGGGTGAAGAATCTCTGGGTGAAGAGTGTATGGGTGAACTGATGTGCAAGAAGAGTTTCTGGGTGAAGAGTCTCTGGGTGAAAGTATATGGGTGAAAAGTATGTGCAAGAAGGGTTTCTGGGTGCAGAGTCTCTGGGTGAAAAGTATATGGGTGAAAAGTATGTGCAAGAAGAGTTTCTGGGTGAAGAGTCTCTGGGTGAAAAGTATATGGGTAAAAAGTATATGGGTGAAAAGTATGTGCACGAAGAGTTTCTGGGTGAAGAGTCTCTGGGTGAAAAGTCTGTGCAAGAAGAGTTTCTGGGTGAAGAATCTCTGGGTGAAACGTATATGGGTGAAATGTATGTGCAAGAAGAGTTTCTGGGTGAAGAGTCTCTGGGTGAAAAGTATATGGGTGAAAAGTATGTGCAAGAAGAGTCTCTGGGTGAAAGTATATGGGTGAAAAATATGTGCAAGAAAAGTTTCTAGGTGAAGAGTCTCTGGGTGAAAAGTATACTGGTGAAAAGCATGTGCAAGAAGAGTTTCTGGGTGAAGAGTCTCTGGGTGAAAAGTATATGGGTGAAACGTATGTGCAAGAAGAGTCTCTGGGTGAAAAGTATCTGGGTGAAAAGTATGTGCAAGAAGAGTTTCTGGGTGAAGTCTCTGGGTAAAAAGTATATATGGGTGAAAAGTATGCGCAAGAAGAGTTTCTGGGTGAAGAGTCTCTGGGTGAAAAGTCTGTGCAAGAAGAGTTTCTGGGTGAAGAATCTCTGGCTGAAAAGTATATGGGCGAAAAGTATGTGCAAGAAAAAAATTTGGGTGAAGAGTCTCTTTGTGAAAAGTATATGGGTGAAAAGTCTGTGCAAGAAGAGTTTCTGGGTGAAAAATCTCTGGGTGAAAAGTATATGGGTGAAATGTATTGAAGAGTCTCTGGGTGAAAAGTATGGTGGAAAATAGGGGTAGATGGGATGCTGGCTTTCGTTCCCCCCTTCTCAGGTATCTAATCTAAACAATGTAATCTACGTAGTCAAAATCGAACCTGAACCTGAATCTAAACCTATATCTTTGTCAACATCTGATCTCATCTAGTCTAATCTAGCCTATCTTTCTAATCTTTCTAATCTTCAAAGCTTTCTAATCTCTCTCCCTGTCCATCCATCCATCAGCCAGTCAATCAATCAACCAGATCTAATCTAGGCTTATCTAACCTAACCTAACATTAATCTAACCTAAACCACTCTCTCTCTCTCTCTTTTCTCTCGCTCGCTCAACTTCCACAAAAACGCCAGGTGCCTAACTGCCTAACGTCCCAGGTCTACTCCGCGTCCCTGACGCTCTTCAGTCAGATCGTGGCGGGCGACGGCTGGGGCACCCTGTCGCTGCCCTTGGCGGAGGCGCATCCCTGGCTCTCCGTGATCCTCTTCGCCATTATTATCTCCATCTCGCTGGGGGTCATGAACCTGCCCCTTAGATCATCTTGGAGAAACGGCAACTGATGACTAGGTTGTATATATATATATATACACTGTTTATACGCAACTGATGAGGTGATCAATTAGAATATCTTTCCGTTGTTGAATGGGTTATGGGTATTTAAGGGGTCAGTCATACTGTATATGAAAGGCTGGTTTCGAGTGCTTAGAAACGATGAGCGATGCAACCTTCCCGTGCGTGGAGATGATTTGTGTACTAGATAGACCGGACCAAAAACGCTGTCCAAGCTGGGGGGAAGAACAGTTCATGGCAGAACCCGTTGCTGCAGTGCCATCAGTCTTGATGATCATGCTTGTGCTGGTGACCATAATCTTGATGATTATGCTAAGTATCGTGATGATGATGATGATGATGATGATGATGCTGCTGCTGCTGCTCTGCTGCTGCGGTGGTACTGGTGCTGGTGGTGGTGGCTCCAAAGTTGCCGAGTTTTCGGGGTTCCAGTTTTTTTTTTTGGTTGGTAGATTAGACAAACACAATTCTTGCAGGTGAAACCATCCTTCTCATCAGATTTTCCAGAGATTTCCCACAGGGTTGACAACTCCTACCGTCACATTTCAGGATTCTGGTGGTGATCGTAGAGCTCCTCGCTGGCAAACGTGGTAAACTGAGTAACAACCAGTGCTTGTCTTTGGGGTTCAACCGTTCAGGTAGCATTGATGCCGAGGATTTGTGACCATGTCACCTTGACGACCCACCAATTTGAAACCATATATATAAGAGATAGATGTTTATGCCAACTTGGGGTGATGTCGGTGCTGGATTGAACCCTCTGAAAACTCTACATGAGGAAGCCTCCAGCAAAATCATAACTCTCAGAAATGCCAGTAAACAACCCAGAGGTTGATTCCTGTGCGGTTGGCAAAATAATCCAACTTGGGAATGGATGTTCCATCCATTTTGCCTCTATTCGCTTTCTATTTCCAGGTCTTTTAAAAGGGTTCCGGGCTGGTGAAACATCCATATTATATACTGTGTATATATATATATTTGTATACTCAGAAATATGTTTTGTTTAACACTTGGCATCATAAAAATCACCATAAAATGGATTAGAATGGCATTTTTTGGACCAACCATTTTGCCCTTCCAAGGTGAAACCCAGTTTGTTCCGCTTGTTTCAGTCGTGAGGAAAGCGGCGGAAGCGCGGCAGAACGATCTGGACCGGAAGTTGGCGCAGAAAGATTTGGATCGTGAAAAGACGCTTGGTAACGTGGATTTTGCGAGGAAAGCAACTGCATATGTACACATACACACACATATATACACACATATATATATATACACATATTTCTTACATGTAAAGATAACTATATATATAAGTGTAGATAGATCCAGCATAAATTCTAGCAAACCTGGTTATTCCCAACAGCAGTGACCTTGGGTTTCAATGTCGGGATCGGTGCATCGTAATAACCGCAATGCTGGACACCTGGAATGTGAGTTGTTTTGGACAGTTCTTGATATTGGCTCGGAGTCAAACCTCCAAGGCCTAGACCACAGATGTCTCATTTTTTAGCATCCATTCCAATTGGTACCCAATTGGAATTGCCACCAAAATGACCAGAAATAGAAATCCTGGCCATTTCCCAAAATTTTCTGGAGCAGTGCCAGGAATATGATCGAGTTGGCATTGTTGTGCGATCGAATGGACACGGACAAAAGCGGCGCCCTGTCCTTAGAAGAGATGCTTCATGGATGCTCGGCGATGGAAGGGCCTGGAAGGGCCTGGAAGTGCTGGGATTTGGGGCCTTTGGATGAGATCACCCGAAAAAAAACCGTGACTTTGATCCATATCTCATCCCTGAATGTGTTGAATAGAGGGCCATCAGTTAAAAGGCACTGCCACCCCGGTGCTTGTGTGCCTGAGGCTATGTGAACGAGAGGAAGTTTTATACCTTGATGCAGGACAGGGGTCAGATGTTTCATCTTTTCACATTGTCAAACATCACTGGTTTTGCGGGTGTCCAAGCCACCTGTCCAACCCCCAAAACACTGTGTCTTTTAATAGCGGAATAGCCACGGGTTCCCTGCAGGAATCGGGTATTGAGAAGGATGACATTCAGACCATGTTCAATGTCTTGGACGCGAACAATTCTGGAGAGCCACCTCTGTGGTTGGCACTTCACCGCAATATGGGCCAATAGTCTGTGGGTATGTTTCTCTAAATTCGGGACCAAACCATGGCCAAACAAGGATTGATTAATCTTGGTGGTTTCAGGGTCCTCAATGTTGAGAATGACCAGTATACACCATACTCTAACTTTGAGGTTTTATACTTTGGTCTTTGTCCTTGTCTTGCGCCTTCTGGAAGGATCGTTTTAAAGTTGCAGGGTCGTTCTGATCAACATTTTTGCTTCCAGAAATGGATTGCAATCTGAATCGTATTCGATTGGTGTAACAGCACTAGAAATGTCCCTGGCTATATACATGCATTGTATGTATTGTGTTTATATATATATATACACATAAGTGTATATAAATATCTATATATCTATATCTATATCTATACACGTGTCCGTATACCTTGGATATTGTCACCATTCCAAGTGGTCCGGTTTTTCAAGGGTTTGTTTTTATCCTTTTATCCCACCCTTCCAATGGTGGGTTTCACTTTTGGAGGTCGACTACCTCGAGTTCTGCAATTTGTTGGGAAGGTGCCCCAAGCGCGACCCCATGATGCTGGCTGCTATGACCAGGCGGGACGAGCTGGAGGTGGAGGAACCGGGTGAAACCACCGAAGGACACAAGAAGTACACGTATGTTAATGGTACAGATATACATTCGGGAGAGAATAACGAGAGTTGACATATGTTGACATCAGTGAGGTAAACTTCTAAACTTTGTTTGTGCATCGAAGTTTGGTCAATGTCGCTGAACTATTTTGGCAGCATGAGGGCAGTTTTTTTCCCCCTCTACCTTTACTACTCTTTATTTGCCCAAGTTGCACCATAGTATTTGGGATGTTGTCAGCAGCCCTTTGCGAGATGGTGGACGGCAAATGATTTTTTTCATTTTTTCCTACAGTTGCTTGAATTATAGGCCTAAGGGTGATGGTTTTTACTGGCATTCCATGACTTTTCTTCATTTGTAAATTGTTTTTCTATGGCAAATCCCTGGCCTGCTTCACCTGCTTCACAGATCACGTCAGATTGGGACTACTTGGATACCACGCCCTTTTTTGGTGTCCCGGGTGTCAAACCCAAGGTTTATGGAGACTGGGGTCAAGTGGGGAGAGATCTCCAGTTACTGCACTGCCCCAGGTGTTTCTTGTTAAGAAGCTCCAGGAAAATAAAACATGGAGCTGGAAAGTCCACCATTTATAGATGATTTTTCCTAGTAAAGCTTTCAAAGCTTGATTACCAGCCAGGGTAGTCGCCGGCACCGTCGGCACCGCAAGCGGTGCCGCCAGGCATTCCGTGATGGAATTGCGGAAAATTTTACAGCAGGAGTCCTTCAGAGCCAGGGTCTGGTCATCGAAGATCACCACGGAATTTTTTCCGGAGATCCAAAAAAACGCAGCGAGGTTTCAGTCAGAATCGGTCTGATGGCAGAAGGATAATTATTTTTTTGTAAATGCACTAGTGAACCGCTGGCAGGATATACTGGAAGTTGTCAGGGAGCAGACGGAGCTTCTGAAAGAGCAGTTGGATCTCTTGTGCCACATCCCACAGTGTCACTCGGACCAGCAACTGCTCACCGGAACAGGAAACGTCCGTGGTTTACCGTGTGCCCTCTGCTATAACGGAAACATACAATCCACCAATCCACTATGTGGATCCATGTGCCGGCAATTTGGTTCGATGATTATGCCATATGTCATATTTCCCAGGTGTCATTTCCACCCATCTTAAATGACCGTCTACGTTTGGACGAGCATCCTACAACGGGTGCTGGTTTTCCAGTGCAAGGTTGGACGGAACACGCACATACATATGCATGTATTATATATATATATATAATTGTATGTAATTATATATATATCTCTCTCTCTCTCTAAGAATATGCAAAGATGGGACATGTGACATGCGTACTTATGCCCACTTATATCACTACTGGAACATATGGGACATGTACTAACGGGTAAAACCGGCCAATCAAACTCTTGGATTAATTGTGGATTATCACTTCCGTGGGGAAAAGAGTCATTTGACTTCAGGGTATATAAATTATACACACGTATATAATATCATTTATCATATCCCAAAGTAATTATATCGTCATTATGTCCTAGTGACCAGTATTTCACGACACGCACGCACGCGCACGTATGTATATGTATATGTATATGTATATGTATATGTATATGTATATGTATATGTATATGGGAACTGGGGAGAACTGTGCCCCATGGGAAGTGGTCTATAGTAGGTCCATCGTATTCTGGTTTGAATTTCCCAGTTTCCTTATTCTTGTAGTGAGAGGGAGCGGTTCGGAGCTGGGGTCATCCGAATTTGACCTGTCAATTTATAGGGGGCCAAGGAGCAAAGAATTGAGTTTCCCACCCATATAAAGCGCATGTATGACCCCCGAATAGTTGGCATATGAAATGCCATCTAAGCTCAAAAAACAGCAAAAATGGGGTATACAGGATTTAGGGGTTTATAGATGGCATACCCCACGGGAGACTTGTATACTTGGCCTGTTTAACAAGTATAGAGATTTCTAGGTTGCAAAGATGGCACACCATATTCAGGGGACAATAATCTCTATATATAGTGCCCTAAGATGGCTTTTCCAAATCGCTACAAATAGCAGATTTTTTTGCATATTGTCGTGACCCGATTGATGGCACACACTGAACCAACATATGAGGTTGAAATTTCATTGATGCCATCTTGGTGCTTGTACCGTTTGTGCCATCTATTCGGGGGCCCCTATAGCATATAGAGCTGTATGCGTTTTTCATAAGGCAACAAACGCACGCATTGACCATATGTTTCCAAGTATTTTCCACCCAAAAATCCCATTACCCTCTGGTAAACTAACATAGCAATGGAAAATCACCATTTTTCATGGGAAAATCCACTATAAAGGGCCATTTTCAATAGCTATGTTAAATTACCAGAGGGTAAATCGCAATTTTGTTCCCACATGTGGCTTCCCACATGCCCAGGCGAAGCCGCCGGTCGGGCGCTGCAGAAGCGTCGCGATGAGCGGAGCGCCAGTCAGCGGAAGGTGCAGAGGGCGACGGCCGGCGTCAGCGGCTTCAGCCAGCTGCAGGTGCCAAAATGGGAAACCCAGGAATCCCTGGGATTCGGGGGATTTTTATGGGATTTCAGCAGGATTTCAATGGGATTTGAATGATTTTGAGGGTTAGATCCCAATAGACACCATGAAAGATGGGATTCTAATGGGATGTACCAACCAAGCGATGGGAATTTGGGGGGTAGTATTTCAGTAGCAGATGACATCACCAATGGAGGGGTACCCGATATTATATGATGAGCCAGAGTGTATTACAGCAATCCGGGGTTGACATTATGCCAAATTATGCCTTAGAAAGCAGCTTTGGAAATGATCATGCCTTCCTTGTTTTGAGAAACATTTTTTTTGTGCTTGCTTTAGCCGGACAGTTTAGGAGTTGGAAGATTCAGAGAAAGCACATGTCAGGTTTGGTAAAGTGCTGTTCTATTCGCATAGCCAAACTTGGCCACGCCAGTGCAGTTCAACCCCTCTTAAGGATTTCGTCGCCATCAAAACTCCAAAGAAAATGCAATCACCATTTCAATGGGGGCTTGAACCTTCTCTCTCCCTTTGTCTCTCTAGCATTGGCACGGCGGCGCCCTGCAACTTCGACCAATGTAGCTGGATGAATCCGAATCGGCAATTTTGTTGCATAAGATTGCTAGAAAAGTCAATTCTTCACGGGTGTGCGCCATCCCTTTTCACAGCTTTTTGGCCACTTACAGGGTTGATTCGCCTATGGATCACCACAAAGCCACTTTGCCCAACCGACCATGGCAAGGGAAGATTCTTTTCCCGGAGGTTTTAATGGGAAAATGATCGATCTCAATGGATCTAAATGGTGGATTTTGCCATGTTTGACTACCGCGGGTACCATGTTTTAGTTCTTTGACCCAACAATCATTCCTTTGTAGCTGGGTCGGGAGCAACCTCGCACGTGGGTTTGCCCAAAAAGGGTGCCCAAAAAGGGTGCCCCAATTTCAGAAAGGGACAATTTCAGAACAACAAAAAACAATTCGTACGGAATCAAGATACAATTTCAGGCTGCCACCAATCTGCAAGAAGGCCCCGCCCAGATATTTTTGTTGCTTTGTCAAATATAACTAATATGATCGTCTTGTCCATTGCTCTTGAGCCATTTGGGGGTATACCCCATTTGAAGACACACCCATGGGCCCATATGTGTTTCGATCATATATGCACATACGATATTTTATGATATTTATAGAAGTATATACAATGTGTGGGTGTGTTGGGGGTGGGGGAAATCAAACTCAATCAGTTACAGTCCCAGTATCATTGGGAATGTCAAAAAGAATTGATAGGTTATAGATTTGAATCATTGAGAATATGAGCGGGGAATATGATCATAGTAAGCCCAAAAAATATATGCAGAACAAAATGCAGTTCGAAAAGAGTTGTAAACTACTTTTCTATCTTTCTGGAGGGATGCTACTAATTCTTAAACATCAATTGAAAATAGATATGGATACATCATAGGGTTGATTCAATGGGGCTCAACATGGCAAGATGGATGTGCAATCATTGGTACTATTGGTAATGACAATTGGTGATAATTCCTAAAATATTTATATATAATAAATATATAAATAATTTAATTACAGTATACAATGATCAGTAATGAGCAGGGTATTAAGTGTCGATAACCAACAAGAATTGAGGTGGTATGAGATATAATCAGCAGCAATCAATGAAAGTGAATGGGGACCATGTTGTTCAGCAACCAGTAGTAGTGGATATTGACCATCTGTACAGGAAGCAACCCCCTGCAGAAAAATGTTTCTGTTAGTCTATTTCACAAGGCTAACGATTGAACTTCTGGCGGATGTGTATTTAGTTAGAAGGCACCTTTCCAGACCCAGGTGCAGCTCGAAGAGTTGTCTCGCTGGGCCACGCAAGTGATGCTGGCCGAAGTCCCGAAGTCGCCTGTCGGCCTGCCGAGAGGCGCGGGACAGGTCGATGGGCGGCTGCTTGAAATCAAGGGAGTTAGGAGCACGGTAGATTTCGTCAACCGAAAATTAAGATGATGGATCCCTACCAATCTGATGATTCTGATGACCCAGAGATATGCCCCCAAATTGACATGAACAAATCGAACATGAACTGAGATCCATGAGGCAAATCCCTGAGATACTTTTGACCAAATCTCTCAGGCGCCCAGCATTGTGAGGCTTTTTTAACCACAACCGATGGGGTGATGAGAAACACCAACCCCCCAAACTAGGCAAGTGGAAAGGTTTAGTGGGGTGGCGTACCTGGCATCGCGAGGCTTCCTCGAGCGGCCTGACTCGCGCAGTTCCGTAGGATCTTCTCAAGTTACCGCCAAGACCAGCTCGTCGCTGTGTCGGAACTTTCCGGTGGCGGGTCAGTGGAACGAGATCGACCGACAGTTTCAACAGCTCAATGGGAAGTTCGATGAACAGCTGCGAAGGGAGAAGGCACTGCTGGGTCTTCGTTGGGTTCGGCTGGGTTAAGGTTGGGTGCCAGAGTGGTGAGCCGAGTGGCAGCATTTAGTAGCTGGGCGACTTGATCACTTGATCCCCTGACACGGGGAGATGTCTGCCCCAGTGCGAAATAATTCTCTCAACAGCACTGGAAACTGTGGATTTGTGCTGGATCTATGACGATCTGATCTAGTCATTTTTGGGGTCTGCTCACAAAGTCCGATGCTTCCGCCGCAGGAGATGGAGAAGAGGTGTAAGAGGCTGATGGAGGATCTATCCTCAACCCTGGAGGGTAAGAGTTGGGTGATCAAGGAAGACCTCTGACCTCAGTCTTTTTTTGGCAGATTTTCGACCATACGTTCCCCTAAGGGGAGGTGCTTGACGAAAGTTACCTACGGGCCTACGTTTCACACGTTTCACCTTCTTACCGCAATTCTTGCATAGCCCGGTGAACTGAAATGCACTTGGGTTCCGATGTCGGATCAATGCTCCGAGTGGTCCAGATATAGCTGAGAGGTTGTATTGAGCTGCTTGGTGGTTAGTTTCTTCTTTGAAGATCCCAAAAAGGGATGACCCCAACTGACAAACACATAAACTTGGTCGCTTTGAGGATGGCTCAACCACCAAGCAGTGGCTCTTTACAGTGCCTAACCACCAGGGGCGTTCCTTCAAAAAGCTTTGGCGGTCCACATTCTGGGCCGGGGCAACGACAGGGAGCCAGGAAGCCATGGGGGAACATCATCGTAAGCATCATCCTGATCCTCCATCAGCAGAATAGTGATGGTAATGATAAAGATAATGACAATAATAATAATAATAGTAATAATAATAATAGGCGGAATAATATGATTAATGATAATTCATAATATGATTAATATATAATAATAATTTGATTAATGATAAAACATGATAATGACAATTATGATAGTGACAATAATTACACAATCATGATAACAATAAAAATAACACTGATCATCAAGATTATGGTCAATGTAGCAGGTGCAGGGCTTCTCTACCAGCCCAGGAGTTACGGCCCCACTTTTTTCGTTTCACCTTGCCCCAGCAAAACATTTCTGACTTAGCCAGATGTCAAGTTTTTTTTGGGAGGGTCGGTCTCTTTCGCGAGTTTCGGTCTTCGGCAGGTCGTTCCAAATACAGGTTGCCACCACAACCTGCATTGGGATCATTTTTCTTTGTTGTTCCCTTCTGCTCAAGTTGGTGCATATAGGCAGCATTCAAACAGTCCAGCAACCATCACTAAACCATATGAGGCTGTTGAAAAATGGAGGCCTTCTGAAACTGTCAGAAACGAAAAGGTCGGTGGTTCATAAAATTGCCCAGGACTCGGAAATTTTGTTTGTCACTGCGGCATGCCTCCGGCGCCCATGCTTGGATGATCCGTGGATAGCCGCAAAGATGCACAAGACGCGGGTGCCACTCTCGACCGGGACTGGCCCAGGGCAGGTTTGGCACTTGTTCCTTTTTCTTCCTTTTTGCCACGCAATAACAACCAAGCGGTCGCGAGAAAACCACACCAACCTGAACCTTCAACGTAGGGCGACGTAGGGCCCCCAGTTCTAAGTTGGTCTTATCCCCCCATTGATAGTTACAGTATATCAATGTTTGCCAAACATTTTTGATAGTATAAGTTTTTTTGTTGCAAGAACACATATCTGCTATAGTTATTCTTATATCAACACTTGCCATACCAGGGGATATTTGCCATACATACATACATACAGACAGACAGACAGACATACAGACATACAGACATACAGACATGCAGACATGCAGACATGCAGACATGCAGACATGCAGACATGCAGACATGCAGACATGCAGACATGCAGAGATGCAGACATGCAGGCATGCAGACATGCAGACATGCAGACATGCAGACACGCAGACATGCAGACATGCAGACATGCAGACATGCAGACATGCAGACATGCAGACATGCAGACATGCAGACATGCAGACATGCAGACATGCACACATGCACACATTCACACATTCACACATGCACACATGCCGACATGCGTACATGCGTACATGCGTACATGCGTACAGGCGAACACGCGAACACGCGTACATGCGTACATGCGTACATGCGTACATGCGTACATGCATACATGCATACATGCGTACATGCATACATGCATACATGCATACATGCATAGATGCATAGATGCATACATGCATACATACATGCATACATGCATACATGCATACACACACACATATATATACATGCACACATACACACAGACACACAGACACACAGACACACAGACACACACACAGACACACAGACACACAGACACACAGACACACAGACACACAGACACACAGACATACAGACACACATACACACATACACACAGACATACAGACATACAGACATACAGACAGACAGACAGACAGACATACAGACATACAGACATACAGACATACAGACATACAGACAGACATACAGACATACAGACATACAGACATACAGACATACAGACATACAGACGGGCATACATATATATATATATACATATTTGCTATATTAATATTTGCCATGCCAGGATACAATTTGCCATCATTAGTTACATTATTATATATTAACCAGGCTCTGCTTCAGCCTGCGATTTGTCACGAGGCGATGCTCGATGCCCTCATGGGCCCCGGGCGCAATCAGCTGGTGAAGGTGACCGGGCTCAATGGCTGGGTCAATTGGGGCCTTAGACACCTCGAAAAAGATCAACAATCACCATTTTTAATGGGTAAATCACAATTTTTAATAGGTAAATCATCATTTTAAATGGGTAAAACACAATTTTTAATGGATAAATCACGTTTCTATCTTTTTTGGGGTTGCTATATACCTGTGAAATTCGTAATTTGAGATGGAAAGTGATGATAAACCAGAGAATTTTGTGAGGTGCCCGCTTTATTTTCAGACAAAACCATAGAACTTGGGGCTAATGTCAGATTTTTCCAGCGAACCAGGTTTTGAACACCTATTTTTGAAAAACTGAGATTTCAAATCGCAGTTATCCTCTGCTCGCGTGGGTTTTTTTCCGCTCTGCTCTGGTCGAGTCTTTGGGACGCGCTCTGACAGATTTTGCCTCGGAAGCCTCGGTGATTTCCAACAGGATTTTGGGACGCGTCCCAGTCTTTCTTTTGGGGTTTAGCCAGTGATTAGCCAGTGATTAGCCAGCACAATTGATATTATAAAGCTGGGCAGCATTGGAAGCAAAGTCCTAATCATTGAAGCATTTTGAAAGACCAGAGTGACCAGAGTGCCTCGATTTCAGGATGAAGAAAATGCCAAGGAAAAGTTTGAGCCTCAGTGAGTTTGTCTGAACATGGGGAAAACCTAAAATTGCAATTTTGATCTTGGGAAACCTTGGATGGGTTCTTACTTTAGTAAGTACCTCAATCTTTCGAGGTGGTTGCTGGTTGGGGTATCTCGTAGTTTGAGCTCTTATAAACTTGGTACATGTCAATTCTGCCCTGTACCTGTGTCCGGATCGCTTGCTGCTTGCTAGTACAGTTTTTGCAGACTATCATTCTGACCAAACAAAGATTTTACCATCCGAAAAGCGTACATAGTGCAATGGTGCAATGGTGCAATGGTGCAATGTACAGCTTTCCAAGCAGCCTGCCGATGTATAGAATTCATAGCTACGCCTAAGTTGTCGCCGACATATGTTCATGGGAAAGGGGGCAAGTCCCTACATCGCTTTGGATTCGTTGGTCAGATTTCGGGCCTAGCAGACTTGTTATGAAGCTTCAAGGGGAAACGCATCGATTTTGTCAATGAATACTTTCGTCTCCAGCCCGAAGAAAAATGCGACTGGATCTTTACTCGATTCGGCCGACACCCTTCATATCACTTAGACTTCAACCAGAACCCAGTGCAGAATACAGGCACTTGGAATACAAAAGAATCTATCGGAGAAAGTACTTGTGAATCTATTTGCACAACCACATCCCCAACTGCGAGTCGATTGTACGGTTTGTTTCGTGGTACCATTAGATGCATGTAGAAACTTCATCAAACTTCCTGCTCCCGCCAAATGGTCTGGGATAGGCAAGATCGGAACGCTTCGAGTCGTCCGTCTGCAAGCTACAAATGGGGATGTATACTAACAGCTACCAATCAGCTAAAACTTTAACTTCTGTACAGGGCAACCAAGATTATCCATGCAGTTTGAGGAAGTGATGATAATCTGTTGGAACCGAGGGCACCCCATTCTTGAAGTAACAAAGGTGCTGATAAAGCAAGCGTTTCTATGGAGGGACATGGTTCAGAATACCAAGTGCGACGGCCAATGCCCGATTCCCAAATGGCTTACTACCATGGATGCCTAACCAGTACAGTAAGTTGGAATAATATGGAATAATCATATAGCAGATGGGACTCACAAAATGACAACTGTCCCGGCGGATCTCAAGGGTGGCATCCCACAGTCTCGATGTCCTTCTCCAACGGGTTGATTCATAGAGGGGTCACCTGACTTGGTCAACGAACCGGGGTCGAATTCGACACTCCAATATTTGCACTTTTTTTTTCTCCTCCACGGTGTGGAGAAAAAACACACTTACACTGGGTCGAGAGGGCTGACAGCCAGTAAAAACCCCCTAAAAAAGGGTGGAAAAACACTTGCCGTTGATGGCTGAGAGATCCCTTTAGGAGAAAGCCCAATGACCGTCGTTTTGCCACCGATGAATCGCCGAGGTTTAAAGACGCCACGGTTTGCAAGGCCTACCTGGTGGGCTGTTGTCCTTTAGATGCGCCTCTTGGCGATGCGGTGAAGCGGTCTGGGATGATTTTCCACGGAAAATGGAAAAACAGATGTGGAGAATGATGAAGAAACTGCTTTAAAATAGTTTGGAAAGTGTTGGGAAGAGATTTTTGCCAGTTTCTACCCCAGATTTTCTCTGGCACCTGCCGCAGCGTCAGCCTTCAGTGGCCTTCAGTGGGTCTCCCAGGTCGCTGTTGGGCGGCAAGCGCAAATTTGCAGTCTGTGAGAAGCGCGCTGGGGCTGTGGAAGCTGCCAGGTTGACTTATTTTTGACCAATCTTTGACAAATTCTTGATCCATGGAGAAGTAATGCGGAAGGGAAAACCATGAGAAACCACAATCATTCATTGGTTTTTCTTTGGCCACATTTTGATGAGACTCAACTTTTTGGAGTTGGGACCCGCTTCTAAAGCATTGGGGCTACCACCCGCAGTATGCCAGGATCCATTCGGATATGATGAAGGACTTTGGCCGGTGTGGGCTCTGACAGTCCCCAGCGATGTAATTTTTTGGGGCCACAGTTTTAAGGGGGGCTAATGCCTCGGCAATTCTGTTCAGCACCTGCCCCAGCTGCTAATGGTCTTTGGCCTTGAACCACAGCCGGTGATGAATAGCCACGATTGAAGAGGAAAGAAATTGAACCGAAAGAAATCGTTGTTAGTTTCATTACAACAATCATTATCATCATAAAACATTATAATTATAATAGTCATCAACATGATCACGATGATGATGATGATGATGATGAGGATGAGGATGAGGATGATGATGACGATGA